GGCATGCATCCCATCCCCCACCTCCTACGCAGGCGGCCATGGGGGTGTACACCCCCCCCAGCGCAGGAGACCTGCAGGAGGCGCACCCCCCCCAGCGTGGGCGGCCGTTGGGGGCGCGCCTCCCCACCCCGCCACATGGGTGCTTGGCGGGTGTGCGGCCCCTTTTGTGCAGGCAGCCGGTGGTTGCCCGATTCCCCCACAGCCGCCATCCTGGCTCCAAGAATTCTCTCCAGAACAAGTCCACCTTGCAGCAGTGTGGTGGCTTCGCTGTACTAGTCTTGAGGAGGGCCGGTGCCCAGCATCCGTCCTGGGTGAGGGAATCCATTCGTTCCGGCTGTGGAAGCCTCATGGAGCTGCAGCGGCTGTGCGGCACAGTGCGGGCTCTGCTGGGCGTGGGGGGGGAAGCCATGAGACTCACCCATTTCTCCTTGGGAATCCTTGAATTCCTGTTGTTGAGCCTCGATCTTCACTGAGGGCCAGTCATCAACTGTTTAAGTGTTCAATTATCAATAAGCCAAAGTCTGTGGAAGGCCATAATGGCCCTGCTTTAAGTGGTTCACTGCTCCCGCAGCTCACCATGCTGTCTCTGCCTCCGCCGCCATCTTGGATCTCAAAATTAATAATAAATTTTTTTTAAAAAAAGAAGAAAGCAAAAAGGTCATTACAAAGTCAGGAAAGAAAAAAAGACCAAAATAGATGTCAGAAGGGACTCTGGAATTTGAACTAGATCATAGAGAGACCAAAACAAAGGGGGAAAATACTAAAATAAAAGAATCATCACAAAATATTTCAAAGGGCAGTAATTGTTATGTACCATTAAGTTGTCTGTGACTGATAGTGACCGTATGTAAAACAGCTCTGAACCCTGCCCTATCCTGAGCCAGTCTCACTGACTCCCCATTACCGCAGCCACTGTCAATTCATCTCATCCAGGGTCTTAAAGAAGGCAGAATACTAGAGCAAAATGTGGAAAGATCTGGAGTTGAAAACCAAATGGGAAGTATATGCTCCACCTTTCTCAAGCTGAAAATTGTTTTTACAACTTGCAATACTGAAGGGTTCTATCGACAAGATATAGTATGATGCCGGATATATCAAAAGAAGACACTTTTTCACCGTACAAAAACAGTTGGTCAACGTTGAACCATTTCAGGAAATAGTATAAGATAGCATACCAATGATAATGAAGAAGTTCAAGCTACACTGAAAGCACTGACAAAAAAAAATAAGGCCCCAGAAACTGACAGGATACCAGTTGAGGAGTTTCAACAGGTGTAGCCCTGGATGTACTCATTAGTTTACACTAAGACATTTGGAAGAACTGCTTGTTCCCATCCCCTAAAAAGCAAATCTAGCAGAGTATGTAAAATATATTAATCAATATCATTAACATTCCATACAAGTAAAATCTTAATAAAGAATATTGAAAAATGCCAGAGAACTGACAGAAATTCAAGATACTTTCTGAAGAGGCTGTGGAAGGAGAGCTATTATTGCTGATGTCAGATGGATATTGGCTGAAACAAAATAACCAGAAGGATGAGTAACAAAGAGAAAAATGGGAATCTAAAAAACACTTCATTGTGCTCAGGGGAGAACTCTCCAAGAAACAGTTGTCCAGACTGGGACAATGAGTAAAAATAGGAAAGGCATGTTGGCATGAGGGTTGTACCCTTTCTCCAATGTGATTACAGCCACTGAAAACCTATGCTTGGTTTCCCACCTGACATTAAAAAAATATTACGTATGTAAGCTGGACAATTTGTAGTGATCCACACAATCAAATGCCTTTCCATAGTCAGTGAAACACAGATAGACATTCCTCTGGTACTCTCTGCTCTCAGCTAAGATCCATCTAATGTTGGCTGTGATGCTCCTAGTGCCATGGCCTCTTCTAAATACAGCCTGCACATCTGGAAGTTCTATTCTGATACTCTTCCAGTCATTTCTGGATAATTTTCAGCAGGATCTTGCTTGTGTGTGATATAAGTGATACCATTCTATCATTTCCACATTCTGTTAGGTCACCTTTTTTGTACTGGGAATAAATATAAATCTCTTCCAGTCAGTTGCCAGGTAGTCGTCCTCCAGATTTCTTGACATAACCAGGTAAGTGTGTCCAGGTCAGCATGTTTGCTGAAATATGTCTATTGGTATCCCATCAACTCCTGGAGCCTTATTTTTTTTCCAGTTCCTTCAGAGCAGCTTAAACTTCCTCCTTCATCACCACAGACTCTTGATCATGTGTTATTTCATGAAATTCTTCTCTGTCAGCCAATTATTTTTGGTATAGTGCCTCTGTGTACTCCTTCCATATTCTTTTGATGCTTCCTGTGTCATTCAACGTTCTCCCTTCAATATACTGAAGTATTGCAACTCGAGGTTTGAATTTGTTCTTCTTCAGTTCCTTTAGCATAAGAAATACCAAGCAGTTGCTCCTGTGTCCGGTGCTGCTGCTGCTGAGCTGCGGAGCCCGTGGTCCTGTCGCCAAGATGCCGGAGGAGACGCAGCCCCGCGACCAGCCGATGGAGGAGGAGGAAGTGGAGACGTTCGCCTTCCAGGCCGAGATCGCGCAGCTCATGTCGCTGATCATCAACACCTTCTACTTGAACAAAGAGATCTTCCTGCGGGAGCTCATCTCCAACTCCTCGGACGCGCTCGACAAGATCCGCTACGAGAGTCTGACGGACTCCAGCAAGCTGGACTCGGGCAAGGAGCTGCACATCAACCTGATCCCCAACAAGCAGGACCGCATGCTGACCATCGTGGACACGGGCATCGGCATGACCAAGGCCGACCTGATCAACAATCTGGGCACCATCGCCAAGTCGGGCACCAAGGCCTTCATGGAAGCGCTGCAGGCTGGGGCCGACATCTCCATGATTGGGCAGTTCAGCATGGGCTTCTACTTGGCCTGCCTGGTCGCTGAGAAGGTGACCGTCATCGCCAAGCACAACGACAACAAGCAGTATGCCTGGGAGTCCTCGGCCGGCGGCTCCTTCACCGTCAGGACTGACACAGGTGAACCTATGGGTCGTGGAACAAAGGTTATTCTGCATCTGAAGGAGGACCAGACTGAGTACTTGGAGGAAAGGAGAATGAAGGAGATTGTGAAGAAGAACTCTCAGTTTATCGGCTATCCGATTACTCTGTTTGTGGAGAAAGAGCGAGACAAAGAAGTGAGTGATGACGAGGCTGAGGAGAAGGAAGATAAAGAGGAGGAAAAAGAGAAGGAAGAGAAGAAGGCCGAGGACAAGCCCAAGATCGAGGATGTGGGTTCAGATGAGGAGGAGGAGAAGAAGGACGGGGACAAGAAGAAGAAGAAGATCAAGGAGAAGTACATCGACCAGGACGTGCTCAACAAAACCAAGCCGATCTGGACCAGGAATCCCGACGACATCACCAATGAAGAGTACGGCGAGTTCTACAAGTGCTTGACCAACGACTGGGAAGACCACCTGGCTGTCAAGCATTTCTCCATTGAAGGGCAGTTAGAGTTCCGCGCCCTTCTCTTTGTCCCACGTCGGGCTCCCTTTGACCTGTTTGAAAACAGGAAGAAGAAGAACAACATTAAGCTGTACGTCCGCAGGGTTTTCATCATGGATAACTGTGAGGAGCTGATCCCAGAGTACCTCAGTTTCATCAGAGGCATGGTGGATTCTGAGGATCTTCCACTAAATATTTCCTGTGAGATGTTGCAGCAGAGCAAAATTTTGAAAGTTATCAGGAAGAATTTGGTGAAGAAGTGCCTGGAGCTCTTCACTGAACTGGCAGAGGACAAGGAGAACTACAAAAAGTTTTATGAGCAGTTCTCCAAGAACATTAAGCTTGGAATACATGAAGATTCCCAAAACTGGAAGAAACTTTCAGAGCTGTTGAGATACTACATGTCTGCCTCAGGTGATGAGATGGTGGCCCTCAAGGACTACTGCACTCGGATGAAGGAGAACCAAAAGCACATCTACTACATCACTGGTGAAACCAAGGACCAGGTGGCCAACTCTGCTTTCATGAAGCGCCTGCGGAAGCACGGCCTGGAGGTGATCTACATGATTGAGCCCATCGACGAGTACTGCGTGCAGCAGCTCAAGGAATTTGAGGGGAAGACTTTAGTATCGGTCACCAAAGAGGGCTTGGAGCTTCCTGAAGATGAGGAGGAGAAGAAGCAGCAGGAGGAGAAGAAAACCAAGTTTGAGAACCTCTGCAAAATTATGAAAGATATCTTGGAGAAAAAAGTCGAAAAGGTGGTGGTGTCCAACCGCCTGGTCACATCTCCATGCTGCATTGTCACCAACACATACGGCTGGACGGCAAACATGGAGCGAATCATGAAGGCGCAGGCCCTGAGGGACAACTCGACCATGGGCTACATGGCGGCCAAGAAGCACCTGGAGATCAACCCTGATCACTCCATTATCGAGACCCTGCGGCAGAAGGCGGAGGCCGACAAGAACGACAAGTCCTTGAAGGATCTGGTCATCCTGCTGTACGAGACCGCACTCCTGTCCTCCGGGTTCAGCCTGGAGGACCCCCAGACCCACGTCAACAGGATATACAGGATGATCAAGCTCGGCCTGGGTATTGATGAAGACGACCCCACTGCTGACGACACAAGTGCCACAGTCACTGAGGAGATGCCCCCACTGGAGGGCAACAACGACACGTCACGCATGGAAGAGGTCGACTGAGCCCAGCTCCGCTCGCTGTCCACATTCACTACTTCACCCTCATTCCTTCTCTCTGATAATATATTTTCAAGGATTCTTTTCTTTATTTTTGTTAACATTTAAAGAAATTGTGTGGCATGACAATAACCCCGGGGGCAGAGGAGCTTCCTTCTGCTTGTGACCCTGCGTACTGTAGGTGCTCAGGCAGAGCCAGTTGTCCCCTCGTTTTACGTTGGCTAATTTACCAGATGGAGGTCATTTCTGTTGTAAGGTGTGTGTAACCCAACCCTAACCCTGGTCTGAAGTTAGCTATTCAACAGATTCTCTAGTAAATAATTTTTGGTCACTGAAATGTTGAGCTATACTTTGATGTTGAGAAGAAACTCTCTGTTAAGACCACCTGAGTTTGATCTTCTAGGATCCAGATAAGCCTCCCACCCTCTGTAGTGCCCAACTTTGCAAGTACCAGGCGTCTAGAAACCAGTGTGTTACACCAAAGCAGCTCTGTGAGACTCCACATCCAGGGCTTGTTTTCCAAAGAAGAGGTTTAGAGTAGCAAAACTAGGCACCTCCTAGGCGGCTGCTGTCAAGGCAGGTTCTGAGATGTAACCAAGCTACAGTGCCAGGTCACCTGCTACCACAAAGGTTGTAACAAATACAGTTCAGTTACAAAGGAAAAAAAAAAAAAAGAAATGCCAAGCAAGTTCATACCTTTTGATTTTCCAACCCCAGCTCCTTGCACATTTCACTATAATACTTTACTTTGTCTTCCTATGTTGCCTTTTGAAATCTGTTCAGCTCCTTAACTTCTTGATTTATTTCCTTTCCTTTAGTTTCTCAGTGTTGTAGTGCAATATTCAAAGTCTCTTCCGGCATCCATCTTGGTCAGCGGAATGTCCATCTGTGTTTCACTGACTATGCAAAGGCATTTGACTCTGTGGATCACAACAAATTGTGGTGAATATTGAGAAGAATGGGATCCCCAAACAGTTAATTGTGTTCATGTGAATCCTATACTTGGACCAGGATGCAGTAGTCAGAACAGAGCAGGGAAACACTATATGGTTGAGGATCAGGAAAGGTGTGTGTTCTCAATCTATAAACAGAACAGATTATTCAGGAAGCTGGACCTTTGCGGAGGAATGTGGCATCAGGATTGGAGGAATATTCATCAACAACCTTAATTATGCTGATGACTCAACCTTGCTTGCTGAAACTCAAGAGGACATGAGGCATTTGCTGCAGAAGGTCAAGGATTGTAGTCTTCAATATAGACTGAAGCTCAACATCAAGAAAACAAAGATTCTTACCACTGGGCCTATTGGCAGCTTCATGATAGACAGAAAAGGGATTGAGATTGTTGGTTATTTCAGCTTGTTTGGTTCCACCATCAACACTCTTGGACACTAGCAATCAAGAAATGAAAAGATGAATTACATTGGGAAATTCTGTTGTCAGGGACCTCGCTAGAATACTGAATAGCAACAGTGTCAGTCTGGAGATGAAGGTGCACCTGATCCAGGCCATGGTCTTCATAATTACAGAGAGCTGGACAATAACCAAGGATGATAGAAGGATCGATGCCTTTGAGTTGTGGTGCTGGAGGAGAGTGTTGAACAAACTGTGAACTGCCAGGTAACTAACTAGTCTGCCCTGTAAAGAGTGAAACCAGGCTGCTTCCTGAAGGGAAGGAATTTGAGGCTGTGTCTCACATACCTTGGGCATGTGGTGAGGAAGGACCAGTCCTTGGAGAGGGACATCATGTTTGGAAGGGTGGAGGGACGGCTCAGGAGAGGAAGACTCAAGATGAGATAGACTCAGTGACTGGGGAAATGGAATAAGGCCTGTTGGAGACAATGAGATTGGTTCAGGATAGGACAGCTTCCAGAGCTAATGTACATAGGTAGGGCCGCTATGAGTCACAGGAAACTCGATGGCACATAACAACATGCTGGACAAACCATTCAAGAAGCTAGATTATATGAGGAAGAATGGGTAAATTTAATAAGGCTGTAAAATATTAAGGGAGCTCTGGCGGCTTAGCGGTAAGTAGCAGCAATGCCAATCCAAAGGACAGGAGTTCGAATCCACTAGTTGCTCGGCGGGAGATTTATTGGCTCTGAAAACCTACCGGAGGGACAGCTTGTTGGTCGGTTCTGACTCTAATGGTATTAATGGCGCGGGAGAGAAGGCTTTTGCTTTTCAACTGGCTGGAACTCCATGCAAAAAAAC